GCTGAGGCGAAGACAGGAGATCTGATGCAGGGCGGGTTGTGGCATCCTCTGGCAAAAGGGCAGCACATCCTTCAGTGAGTGCAGTGGGGTGGGGTTTGGGTGCTTAATTGTGTGTGCAGCAGGCTGCTGAGTTTTGGCCTGATGCACAGAGACTGTCTTACAGAAGAGATGATCAAAGGGTTAATGGAAAAAAGATGATTAAAGAGGAGTGTGGGAATTGTGGCACAGAGCTGTCACCACAACATGCTTTGGAGAAAGAGGGCAGAAAATGCAGTTCATAAACTCACTATTTATTTATTTTTCCCCAAAATGAGGTAAGCGCTGTGGCTTGCTGGCAAAGCAGTGCAGCATATTTCATTAATCCTAGCAGCTTGCCTCTTCTCACTAGTGGGGTTCTGGCAGAGAATTGTGGGTTTGGTTCTGCTATAAAAAAATTAAAAAAAAAAATTGAAATTACAACAGCAATTAAAAAACCCAAATAATTATCCCAGCTTTAGTGCAACCCAATACATCATTGATAATGCTGTAAAATCTCCATGTTAAAGCAATCATTTAAACAGCAGCTTCACCAGGCCCTGAAGGGCTTCTTTCTTGCCTTTTCATCACTCCAGGCGGTAAACATCCCGGTCCATCTCCGCAGCCTCGGCCGTAGGTGCTGTGCTGCTTTCCCTGGGGCAGAATGGAAAGGCCCTTGCTGAGATCCCGGCTCTGCCGCACCCCCTCCTCAGCCCGTGCGGCCCAGCCCGGCAGCGGCTGTCGGCGGCCCGGGGGAGCCGTGCTGGGCCTTTCCAGGCAAACGCCGCCTCTCAGCAGCCGGGCCGTCTGTTCGCCGGGGGAGACAGAGGGCGGAAAGCTTAGGGCCGAGAGCTGCTGGAGTGACAGGCACAACATAAACTGCGATGAGTGTTACAGCAACACGCTAGGAAATCGATGCGCGGAGCGGCGCTGCCGCCACCGCAGGAGGAGCGGGAGTCCCGCTGCTCCAAGCGCCGGGGCCTGAGTGAGGCAGAACGGGCGCTGAAACCTCCGGGCTTGCGTCGCCGGGAGAGGAGATGTAGGTGCCCAAGCCTCACGCTCCTTTTCTTCACTCTATCTCTCACCCATCAATAGGAACAAGCCCAACTACTTTGAAGAAGGGGGAAAAAACATGCATCTCTTGCCAGATGGGGAGTGTTCCTCGGAGCTTAGCAGGGGGAGGTTTGCAGGAGTGCTGCTTTGGCCCAGCGCTGCGTGTTAGACCAGCAGGTGATGGAGAATGGAGGACAAGGAGCAGGACTTGCTCCTGCCCTCCCCCAGCCTGCATGCTGCCAGGTGTCCCAGCCCATCATGAAATCCAGGGACCAGGAATGATGGTGGGCAGCCCTCTATCCCATCCAAGGCAGTGGTTCCTGCTGAAGGTTCAAAATCATTCTCCTGCAGAAAAGCATCGCCCCATCCCCTCCCTCCTGTAGCACAGCCCAGCCCTATTATCTGCATTTGCATGTGGGGAAAATGAGAATGGGGGAGGAGTGCAAGTATGACCTGGGTTTCTTTCTCCACATCCAACTGTTTCTAAAAAATTTCGGGTGCCAAACTTGGCTGTGTTTGTTTACAAGGAGGCAAGGAGGACTAATGGGGCATGGCAGCAGGATCTTTCTTTTGTCCTTCCATGTCTCTGGTTTGAAATGGTGCAAGATCAACAGTTCCCAGGTTCTTACAGTGATCATGCAAGTCATGCCTATCACCATTCACTGGTCCTCTCGTTAGCCACATCAGAGATGTCAAGAAATCAAACCTGCAACCATAAAGAAAAGAATAATGCATGGATCACAAACTGTTTATTAGCTTTCACTGAGGCTGATGGTAATGGTTCCAATAAGTCTAATGAAAAGCGTTTGACTGTCTCTGTGAATTTGATTATTGATTATTAGTGAACGATAAGAGTCCATTGATATCTGGCTGATGCCATGCTCCTATTGCTTTGCAGTTAAAATGTCAGTTAACATGCCATTTAATATTCTATTAGTATTGAATTAGCACTTATTACACTGTGAAAATCATCACCATAAATCCTTATTAAAGTGTGATCCATTCAGCTGGGTGGCATCTCTGGCAGACTAAGAGGGGGGGTGTGTGTGTGTGCAGACAGACATACTGAGATGCATCATCCACGTGAATGCATGTTCAGAGCATGCCAGGACTTGGAATTTCCACATTTGTACATTGATTTTTCCTGACAGCTTGAGAGGAGCAGGTATGGTGAATAGAGGGCTCAAATCCATTTCACTCACTCCTCCCATTTTCCTCTTTTCTTTGTCCTATTTCCTTTCCTTATTTTGGTATCACCTGCTAACTTGTTTCAGGACCAGTTGCAAGGTTGCCTGACTGTAGCTATTGACCACTGTCCTAGGGCTGACCTGGATGCATGTAAGACAGGTTGTGACATATTTTCTCTTCCAGGGAGAGGAGGGAGGGTCTCTGGTTGAAGCCTACCCACAGGAGCAAAAGCACAAGGCTTTGTGCTGACCACACCACTGAACTGTCACTGACAAGACACCAGACAGGGGCATATTTGCTACCCCAGAGAGTTACAATGATCAGGGGTAGGGCAGAGCTGCTGAATGCTCACTGTAGCCTGGTGGGAATGGGAAAGCAGCCTGGTGGAGATGGTGGGGTGCCATGGATCTGCTGGAGTCCAGCAGCACTGATAGCTATTTAGGGGGATTTTCAGCTCCCACTGACTTCAGTTTCCACTGTTAATCTGCTTAGCTTTTCACTACCAAAATACCTGACCCCTAATTCTTGGTGCTGTTACAACTCCTGCATTTGCTGGAGGGCTCTTGACCCTAAGGCAGCCAGCTCTGGAGGCAGTCTGGGTATTCCTACAGGGCCACTGCCCTCAGCCCTGCAGCACACTGTGCTCTGTGGGTCATGGCTTTCATCTTTTCATCTCCCATCACTGGTGATTAGTGCCTGGAGTGGCCAATGGAACTGGAGCAATGCCTCATCGTAGTGATGCTGGTTTCTACCTGTAAGTGACTGCTCACAGATTCCCCTGCATCCTTCTTTTTGACAAAGAGTAGCTTTTTGAAAACAACTCAGATCACACCTGAGAGTTCACCTTGGGGGCAAGTGCCTGCCTGGCCAGGAGGGTGGGCTCTGGCCGGAGGGCCAAATTCTCACTCCCCTTCTTTGTCTGGACATTGTCAGTAAAAGACAGGAATCTATTGGGCTGCTCTCTAAAGCAAGTGTTTGTCAGATCAGACAGAGCTGCTTACAGCTTGGCCAGCAGCATGGCATGGCTACCATGGATGCCCACGCAGCTTGGCTTTCCTCCTGCCCACAAGTAACCCCAGAACAGCTTGGACACCATCCATGGGCTTGCCAAAAGGGAGTGGGTGTGAGGTGCCGGCCATAATGGTGGGGTCACATCACAAGGGAAGGCAGCTGCAGCAGCTTTGAATGAAATGCATTCAAATAGAGGAACTTGGAAAATGTCTGACCGATGTTGAAAGGCTGTATGAAAGCCTACTGTCAAATATTTGTCTTATTTTGAAGCAGTAATCATTATCCTCTTTCTTTCTTCCCTCAAATACAACATATGCATAAATAGTGAAGAGGGCACAATCCTGTGCAATGTGATCTAGGAAGACCCTGCTCGAGCAGGGAGGTTTGACCATACAACCTCACTGTGGTCCCTTCCAACTTTACCTATTCTGTGGTTCTGTAATAGCAGTGGCAAGAGATACGGGGTTATTTGGATGCTGGGACACTGTGGACAGAGCTCTGAGAGGTGAAGGAGCAACAGGTCTGGAGTCTGAGCTTCCCTTTTTATCTGCAGAGCTAACGTGATGTGAGCAGCAGGCCAACCTGCTCTCAGCCTCTCTGAGCCCAGCCCGGGGGGTGCGGCTGCCAGGGTGAAAGAGGAGTTATGTCTGCCTGTCTTCTTCAGCCCTGGTCCTCTTGAATGAGACACAGCTGAGAGTGAGAAAGACGTGTCTCCTCAGTGGCAGCTCCTCATCTTTTCTGTGCAAGTCTCCTTCTGGCGGTGGGAATGGTACAGAGCAGGTGTCTTTGCCAAAAATGCATTTGTCTTCAGGGCACTTACTCTGCTCTCTGTCAAGAAACAAAATACTCGTCAAGTTACAGTTGCAATGGGGTTGGTTTGTCCTCTGACTCGGGAAGGTGGCACTCAGGACCCTGACAGTTTCTGGTCCTCCTGTTACTCCTCTGCTTTCCACCCCTAGCTGTCATTCCTCCTCTCCTGTCCACCTGAGATGTTCACAGGACATTCTGCGTATGTCACAGGGATGAACAGGGATGACAGTGACACTCCCACAGCCTCTCATTTTCAGCCTGAAATCTGCGCTTGCCTGCACAAACAAGCAGATGTGCATCAGCAAGTGTGTGTGTATGTGTTAGGAGGGTGATGTTTGAACAATGAAATAATTCCACAATTTTTTTGCTTTTTTTTTTTTTGTCAGAAGGATGTAGATGGGAGATACTCTATAGTTTCCTCCACTAATGCTGCTGAAACTGAGGGATGGAGGAGCTGTGCCCTGAGCTGACAAAGATGGAGCCCTGAACCTTTGCCCTCCAGGCTGGAAGGGGTCTGGGGGTTTATCTATTGTATAGCCAACTTTTTGAAGGTGAAGGAGAAGCAAGAGCTACTTCCAACCTTTCTCACTGGCAGGGTTGGAAGCCATTTGGTGATCAAGATCTCTTGTGGCCTTCCAAATTAATTTTTGGTATGTAGGCCACAGGCAAAAGGAAGAGAGAACAAGAGACATGTCTGCCCCAAATCCCATGGGGTTTATGAACCAAAGATTCCTGAAACTCTCCAACAGAGTTAAATTGTTAAGTACTTGTCCATGGGACAATAATGATGAGAAGATTCTATGGTTTACTGGCAAGGCAGGAGTGTGGTGTGAAGTTTCTCAGCAAAGCAGTAAAGAAGAGGAACAAAAGTGAGGTGATGGAAAGGTTGTTAATCTCCCCCTTACCTGTCTCATCCTCTGCAGGTGTTATGTAGAAGACAGAAGCTCCAAGGTGGCCTGGTTAAATCGTTCTGGCATCATTTTTGCTGGAGAGGACAAGTGGTCCCTGGACCCTCGAGTAGAGCTGGAGAAGAGAAACCCCCTGGAATACAGCCTGCGGATCCAGAAAGTGGATGTCTACGATGAGGGGTCCTACACGTGTTCAGTGCAGACACAGCATCATCCCAAGACTTCCCAGGTTTACTTGATTGTGCAAGGTAAGCAACATGCCTGATAGGAGAGCAAAGAGCAAAAGACACAGTGAGAGGAGGGAGCTGTATTTTTCTAAGAGAAACTCGAAAGTCAGGAGCCTATGCGTCCCTTATGTTTACTCAGGGGCCAGCTAGACTCTTCCCTTCCACTGTGGCATAGAATGGTTTTACTCTGCTGTCTGTTTGTCCTTTTAAAAGTGGTGACAGAGCAAGGGACACCAGTGACGCCAAGCCATATTCTAATATGATGCAAACCTGGCTCCTGGCTCTGGTTGTTTGGCACTGATGGGAAAGCATTTGTTTATAATGACACTTTTCAGAACATCGTGCCTTATCTCTTTACAGAGAGGCCTCTGGTTTCTTTGCCTCCTCCTTCCTCAGGTTTCCTTTCTTTTTTCTCGTGTCAACAAGCTACCGTGCTGTGTTTTTTGGCCTTCCATAGTCAGCTCTTTGCCAGGCTAAGGAATTAATTTTCCTGTGAGTTTTTCCAAGCTGGGTCATTGGTTTGCCGGGTGCACCATCACTAGGCATGTGTGAAACCTGGTACCTGAGGGACCTGCCACATACCTTATGTTGCCCTTTCCTTTTTTAGCTACCCTTCTCCTATGTGTATTATAAGGAACAGGAAACTTGGCAAACCAGTATTGTCTTATCTGTCTGCCTGCATTTATGGCATAACAGAGAGTAAACAAATGAAAGAGTTCACCAGTTATTGGTAAGGTCATTAAGGAGTTTATTCTTGTTCCATCCTGTCCAGACCAGAACACAAAACAAGAGAGTTTACCCAGTTTTATTTAGTTTTGCTTTAAATCTTCATGCCATTTTGTCTATCTGCCTATTTATCTAAAATATTTACAGAGCAGCTAAGTTGGTAGATATTAATGAATGTGTTTGATACATATTAGAGATATGTTCAACTTCTATATTATCCTTCAGCCAGAAATTTTTTATTTCTTCTGATTTGTGTAGTAACCCATAAGGCTGCAGAGTTCATTTCCCCCAACAAGTTTTTGAATAGCTCTGATTATAGATGCATGCAGGAAAGGACTTTTCCTCTTGCTGGTACTACTTGGCAAACTGGGGGGCTAAGTAGCATCCTGAGTATTTATCTGCAAGGTGACGAAGTCTGGACGTGTGGTCAGAGGTGATGCTTTACACACAGGTGTAGTGAGCCAGAAGGCTCCTGGTTGCTTTTCTTGCCCGGAATCCTCCCCCAGCAGCACAAAGAGTGGCCCACACCCACACACAGAGAGGCTCTCCCGGCCTGGCTGAGTGCTTGCTGCATGAGATGCATTCCCCAGCCCTGGAGGTGTACCCTGCCTTGCTGCTCACTACAGCAGAGCAGAGCCAGCCCTCTGTAGATGGTTTATTACTGGTGAAATCTCACAGCACACAATTTCCATTTACTTGTCAAGAAAAATATAGGAACAAATGAATTCCAGAGCTGTGCATATGTATTATTAATTGTATTTGTGCCTATTAGATATGGGCCTAAGCAGCAAAATTGAGCTCTCTAGCTTAGCTTTCACTTAAATACATGGGTATCTGGCTCTGAACTACTGCCACCTTTCTGAGAATAAGAAAATTTAGGTTTTGACACTCCTAAACTCTAAATGCCTGTAAATAAGGTATCTGTGGGTAATCTTTGTTCTAACACCTGCCACAGATTTCATAAAAGACCCATTGTGATATTGTGCTTACTCTATAATCCTGTAATTAGATAAAACTCATAGCTTTAATTTTTTTAAACTAAATTTAATCTGGAAAGAAAAGTGAAGGAAGATATAAATACAAAATCCTTTCCAATTTGGAAGAGTTAGTCTCATTTTAAACATGTTTTAAAAATAATCCTAACTAATAAAACTAATTCAATACAAATAGTGTATGTTAGAAAATAATCCCTGTAGTCTCAGAGTATTATTTTCTTATATTGATTGCTATTTTTCCAAGATTTGCATGTTGTTTGCCCGAAAAATAGTCTGCTACTAGTCTGCTACTAGTCTGCTAATTAAAGGAGTTTGGATATTTAGTCATACTAAACTATTTAGTTTTATTTATTTTATGCAGTTTATTTGCTTCTTTTGGTTTTGTATTCATACATTTCAAAACATAGGCTATTTGAAGCTCTGGGCATACCAAATGTAAAAATAAATAAATAAAAGAAAATACAACTCCTGAAACATTAAATGACAGGGTAGTCAACTGGTCTGCCTGGTAATCTGGGAGGAGAATTTCTGGAATGATGGTCAGTGGTCTCCTTTGAACAAGCTCAGGGAAACAAAAGCAAATGAGGATCAGAGACTCATTGCTACCTTTGAGTACATGGTTGATGCCTGGATTTGCCAGTGAAAGATACTGCAATGACAGCTGCTCCTGCCCTGGAGACAATGGGTTGGTTTAGGGCCATGCCAGGCTTCCTATTCCCCTCACTCAGTGTTGCCACAGATATTTCTGCATCCCGCTATCAAAGACAAATCCTTAGTCTCTCCCAGTTCAACTCCCTCATCTGTCTAGCCCCTGTGAGAGCACAACTTCTCTTACTCCTAGACACAAATGGGATATCTGTATCAGAGACTAGTAAGTGGGTAGGCAGATCCTAGAGTGCTGTTGGAGCCTTTAAAACTGGAGACCACTCCATGTCCACAATGGCAGCTGAAGTAGGCAGGCTTCACTGTATCCTGAATGTTTTCTGTGCTTAGATCACTGCAGTCTAATGAAGTTGCATTCTAGGACCAAGTCCTTTCCAGCCTTGAGAAAATCAGCTTTCCCTGAGATGAGCTCTGCTTGGTGAACTCTGCTGGACAGAGCTGCAGAAGTATATCACAGAAAAAGGGACATCACCTCTCTAATGTATACACCCAAGTCCTTTAGTATTCACATGGGAAGAACCAGTTTCACTTTGCCAGCAACAATTTCTGCAAAAACACCCTACTTGGTCTATTCCTTTCCTCTCTTAAGTGTGTAGGTCCATGGATAAGATCCCTCTCAACTGGGATTGAAGATCCTTCTCAACTGGGCATATTGCAGAGGTCTAAAAGGGGCATAATGAAATGACACTTAAAAAAAAATCAGAACTTCATGGAGCTAAAAGTAGAAAAAGTTGTCTTCCTAAGTCTTTCCATCTTTTGAAAAATAAAGCTAGTAAACATAAAGCTTCTCTGCTAGTAGAAGTAGGCATTCACTGCCAAAATATTCATTAGTACAGCTGTGGCCATCTCTGCCATCTTTCTGAGCCAGGTGGGCAGCACTCTTTGCAGTCCTCTAGACTGGAGGTGGTTGTCTCTGCCCAGCTCAGTTGCTACCAGGTGCTCTCTCCACTGGGGTGAATGCACCAAGAGACTGCCCTGAGCCACCACCTCACTCACAGCATTTTCTGCTGCTTCAATTTGGGTATAATGGCCAGTTGCAAAGCTTTCTGTTTACTACCCCAGTTATTTCTGCTGGTATGTGATCAAAAGAGTGAACACTTGAAAGGACCTGCAAGGGATGGTCTGGACCTTCCCCATGCAGTGAGACAAGATCAGCTCTACAGTTGCCCCATACATACATTTTTTGGAGATGTGCCTGCATAGCTGGTGCATGTCCATTATTTCACTCTCCTTGCATTTGGAAAGCTTTTATTAACATATGATCCAAATTGATTTTGCTGCCAATTATTTCTGGGCCTTCCAAGACACATAGTGGTTATTTCTCCTCTTCCTCAAAACTACCTTTTATCTGCCTGAAACCCCTAAATTTCTGTGTCTCAGAGATCTCTAGTGCAGCTTAATAGGCTCACTGCTTTCCAGAGGTCATATTTTTTCAACCCGTGGCATATATATTTCACTACTCTTTGATTTGTCTACATGTTTTCTTTAAATGTACTGTCCAAAACCAAAACAGGAGTTCCAGTTCAGGATTCAATCATGCAGATACAAGTACCAGCCATGTTTTGCATATTACACTTCACTTACCTAACCCCAGAATGAAATGAGATTTACCTTTTTTATATGAGTGCCTCACTGCTTTCACTAATTTAGTCTTTCTGCCTTTATAATCCTCTCTTAGTGGTCTGCAGCTCATTCTTCACTTTTGTATTTGAACTTTAATTGTTTTCCCCCCTTCCTGAGAATACTGCTTTGTGCTCTCTGCTGTTGGATGTCATCTGGTTGGTCTCTCCATGGAGACCACTTCAGTTTCCTTACCATCCTGGGCTCCAAAGCACTTGCAACTGCCTCCAATGTAATGTCATCAATAAAAGTCAGGTGCCTTGTTTCTGTTCCATCATGAAGGTGTTAATTAAAGTATTGAAGAGATCACGACACAAAAGCAGACTGTGGCAGCAGCCCACTAAACCTTCTATCCCTGGTGGAGAGTGATCTGTTGATTGCAGCTCTTTGAAGCATCCTGATGGAGATTTAACATCCACTGTGTTCTCTTAGCTTGTTGAAGACTGTCAGGTCTTCTGAAGTCAAGATATATCACATAATCACCCATATTGCTTCTGCATTATCTGTTATGCCAGCTATCATACAAAAAAGGGGAAATGAGGCCTGGGTGGCATGATATGTGTTTGCCAAAAGTAGTACATTGCTTTTTTTTTTCCCTTTACTCCATTATTATCCTCTCGGTGCTTATAAATGGGATGTTTAATCATTTGTTCCAGTATGCTGAGTGACTTGTTCCAGGAGAATTGAGTTGTAACAGGGACACAGTGGCTGCCCCTTTCCCAGCATTACCTTGAGTTCTTGTTCTTTTAGCACAATATCCTCAAGCCCTTCTCAGGCATTAGATAGCAGTGGAGAAATTCCTATGGTCCTTACTTGTCTCATCAGGATGACAGGTGCAAGGGCACAGAGATCTTGGCATGCATGGGCTTTAAAAATTTCTGCAGTAAAGACCTAGGCCTATCCAAGTCAATCTGGAGAAGTAACTCTACTAGGAGGAAGCAAATTGTTCCTGTCCAGAACCTTTATGTGTAGGCATCATTGTGAATGGCAGTAGTTGTAACTTTTCAGTGAAACAAA